AAAAGATAGATATTTGGTACCCCAGCCATAAAGAGAGACCTCGAAATGCTGATCCAAATCTTCTTTCATTACACAGAAACAATTCTGTGAATGATGTTACACATTTTTTTAGCAAAATTACACGGGTCGGCCATGTTGCTTGGAAGTGCACAGTTTGACCTAACAAGTTATACATAACCCCTTTGTGTTTGAAAATCTTATTGCACGCTGAGCTTTTACATCCAAAGTTGAAGGAGTTCTGAGTTTTATTGCGACCGAATGACTGGTTTTGCATGCACTCTCGAGGGAAATTCTCTAAATTCGTCGGAGGAACTAATCCGCAGGTGGAATACAACTGTATCATCATATTTAACGAACACTAGGTCATGCAGGTATGTTCCTTCCGTTGTATAGTTTAAGAAATTTGCTTACATTTACGTTAAAGTTCAAATCTTCCTACTAACCGATTAAATCCGTCGAACAACAGTTATCTAACCGAATAAACAGAGCATGGCTTGGGCCCGCCTATGCCAAACCTCTCACGGATATGAAAAATTTGATGCGACCGCATAATTACAGCATGCTTACGATGTAAAACGAAATAAATAAGCAAGGTGTAAGTAAATGAACATATATAAAAAGACTTGCCCTTACCTGATCATATTACATGGAATCTGTCCTGCACTTTGGTCAGAACTAAACGCTGACGACGACACATCCTCTTGAACAATAAAAGTATCCGGGATTTGCCTTAGTCCACCCAACTCTGATATTGATAGATAGTCGAGAGACGGCAAGTCGGTGGCTTTATCACGCAACTAGACAGAAGTTAAATGGGACGCATGCAGTAAGTACTCTTAAGACATACTTCAATTTTCCTCTGTGGTAACTCGCCAATTTGAATGGATGTTTGCACATCGATCTCTCTATACACAACAGTAGGAGGAACCGAACGTCTTGCTTGAACAGCGAACTATTTTATAACATCTGATTTAGTTGGCCAGTTATACGTGGCAATGTAAGTTACCAACCAACTGGCGTAGATGGGATGAACTGCAGCTGTTTTCTTGAATCACTGGTGCTGGAAGATGCGACAATTTCACGAAGCTGATCAACAAAAGATTTCTCGCGCTTGACGCTTCGGAGCTGCTCAAGAATTGAAGTGTCTTGAAAAAGTCGCGCACCAAGCTAAAAGATGAGGACTTTCAAGTGCATACATCGAGAAACAAAGGACAGACAATACTCACTCTCTTTGCCAAATCACTGATTTCGGCAGAACTGTCTGGTACCTCTCGAGGGCTCTGATTATGCAAACAAGTTGATTCCTGCTCCTAAATGTAAGACTTAGTGCAAAAATA